CCATCCATCCAACCAACCATCCATCCATCCATCCATCCATCCATCCATCCATCCATCCATCCATCCATCCATCCATCCATCCATCCATCCATCCATCCATCCATCCATCCATCCATCCATTCATTCATCCATCCAACCATTATCTTTTACCCGCTTCTTCCTTTTTGAGTTACGGGGGTCACTGGTTCCTTATGTTCAACTATCACAGTGTGAGAGGCGGGGGGACACCTTGGACAGGTCTCCAGTCCATCACAGAGACAAATGAGACAAACAACCATTCTCTCTCTCTCTCTCTCTCACACCTCAGGACATTAGAGTTACCAGTCAGACTAACAGGCATGTTTTTGGTCTGTGGGAGGAAACTGGAGTACCTGAAGAAAACCCATGCAACACGGAGAGAACATGCAAACTCCACCTAGAAAGGCTCTGGTCCGGGATTTGAACTGGTGACCTTCTCGCTGAGAGGCAACAGCTCTACTGCGCCACCATGTCACCACCATTTGAATGTCTTGCAACAAAAAAGTTTACTTTCCTGTTCAATTCCAGTCCAGAAAAACACTCATGTCAAAAACTACAAACATTCACTTTTCAAATTCATTTCTTGGGAGAGGTGGTGCAGAGGTTAGAGAAGGTTGGGCTGTGATCGGAAGGACGCCGGTTCAACTCCCCGGACTAACAACATCAAAATGTGGGTGGAAAAGGTGAAACACCCACACCTGCCTCCACCCTCATGTGCTCCACTCTGGGCCCTTGAGCAAGGCCCTTAACCCACCATCTGCTCCCAGACAGGTCTCTTGTGAACAGGAGTCCTCATGACTCAATGAGATTACCTGTTTAAATGAAGGTTAAATGAAAATAAATCTGTCGGTGACGGGGGACGTCGTTGTTCAAACTACATTTAGCTTCTCCCCCCACAGGTCATCGTAGAAAAGCTTCAGAATGTGCGGCTCAGTGGAGAACAGCTGTGACCGTCGTGTCCTCTCAGACAACAGCGGGGGTTTGTTTCAAATGGAGCTCTGCAGCAGAAACATCTTCAAAGTTGAAACGAGTCACAGGAAGTTGGACTTTACATGTCTGAACCTGTGAGCTGACATCTTTAATGTTCTTACACTTTAGGTTGGCTGTTAACTCTCCGTCAGAAACTCATCTTCTCTTTACATCTTTACCTCTTTAGTTACAGTTTAGACGTTAAAACGTCTCCGTAACGCCCGTGTCTGTGAATCTTTAACTTCTCGCTTGTCCAGGTTAATCTACAGCTTTACGTTTGTTTGAGTGAACAATAAAACTGTTGAGTAATTTCCATCCTCTTCGATGTGCAGCAGGTATGAGAGTGAAATGTCAGGGGGCAGTTTGTTACAACATGGAAACTCGGCAGTCTTAAAACTTTGACTTATCTTCATAATAAAACTGTTTAAGTTTAATGAACTCTCGGATGGACAGCCTGGCAGCCTTTACTAGTTAGTGTACGTTACGTTCTAATCCTGCAAATCTTCACACGTAACAAAAGGAAAAATATGTACTTGCTTTTTTTTTTTTAATTTATTTCATTACGAACAGTTAAAATTTCAACAAAACAAAAAACATGAATAAAAATGTTAATATTTCCACCAAAATATTCTGTAAACAAAACAAAAATGTTTGAAAAGGGAGCAGGAAGCAGCAAAGGTGTATCCAGTCCTGTCCCTAAGTTTACATACAAATTCTGAATCAAAGTAGTGATTCAACAAATACATAAATACCTCTACAAACATATAACTATATACATGCAGACATGCATACAAATAAATATATACCTACACATACATACCTGCAGATACAAATTTATTCTCATGTCACCTACAGATCAAATATTACCATATTTTCTGCCGTACAAGACGTATCTGTCCAAATATGTCTAATAAAGTGGAAAATTCCATAAATACGTCGCTTTGCCGTATATGTCGCATTTATTATGTGTCACTGCTGACGACCCGGAAATGTGGGCCGGTGTTGTGCCAAAAATCAATGGGCTGCCAAATGGTGGCCGCGGGAGCATGCACGGGACGACTTTAACAAGAATTTAACAAGTTTAGCACTTAAAAACAATTGTTTGTTTGCTCGACATTATAAAACAGATGTGTCTCGGTTGAACCTTTGCTTAATAAATACACTTTGACGGTCAAATCAGCTGCATTTCAAAAGCCGATATGCGTAACTAGGAACACGCAGAGGGACGAGTCGCTGAGCATTTCTTCAAAATTTAACTAAACACCTAAAAACAATTATTTATTTGCTCAACAAAGAGCAAAGATGTGTCTCGATTGAACTTTTCCTTGATAAATGCACTTCAATGGTCCAATCAGCTTCATTTCACCGGGGCGGCGCGGTGAAATGAAGCTGATTGGACGGTTGCTCCAGGTGAGCTGGATGAAGGTGGCAAGTAATGGCAAGCCGATTGTGCCATTAATAGATACTTTTACCTATTACATGACACAACGGCATGCCATACTACTCGAGTGCCATCTAGTGGCTGAAAATGGTAGTGTTCAATATTTTCAGTCAGAATGAATGAAAACGGTCATATCTCAGTAAAAACTGGTTTATAAATATTGGAAAAATCCATAAATATGTCGCTTCAGTGTATAAGTCGCAGGACATGTAAATTATGAAAAAAAAGTGACATATAGGGCAAAAAATACGGTAACATGCAAACATACTGATTAATTAATTAACAGTTGAAATAACATAATTTTGACTCATTCGTTTAATACACATTAATTTTGTGATCCTTATATTTTTTTCTGGAACTGTGCAACATTTTTGCTTTGCTTAATCTCTTTGAATTTATTATGCAAACAAAACAACAAAAAATTAAAAAGTTTAGATTAATAAAAAGATTGTTGACAAAACTCATGATAAATGGATCAAGTAGTGAATATTTGACGAGCTCAGCAAAGAAAAATGTGCACATCATTTGTATTTTTCTGTTTAGGTCTAAGTATTTATCAGTTATAGGGTTCTGCAGCGTGAACTCTGCTCCAGTGCAACAGGTATTCACATGTACAGACACAAACGACTTCCAACTTTGACACAGAACAAAGTTCTGGCTGCCAAAGCAATGATTCACTCCCTGGCCCTAACCCTACTGCTGTTTATTTAAATGAACCGGGCTGCGGTCCGTCCTTTGTCAGAGACATCTGTTTCCTTCACTAACTTGAACTCTAGAAGCAGTTTGGGTCGAATCATGGCAGTTTTAGACGTTTTGCTGCAGTCCTCCTCGGCCTCCCTGCTGGTGGCTCTGCTGGTCCTTGTGCTCATGTATCTACTGTCTTCTTCCCACTTCACTTCCAAAAAGCCTGGCAAGGATCCACCAGGGCCACGAGGCCTCCCGGTGCTCGGGAACCTCCTGCAGATCGACTTGAAGAAGCCGTATCACACGTTCGTGCAGGTGAGGAAGCTCCTGAAGGAGTTATAGCTTATTGGACAATTATTTATTTTCTGAACGGTGTTGTTGATTTATTTTACTGTGAACATTAATGTGGAAACTTGTTCTAATTTTCAAACTTTGCAAAAACTAGTTCATCATTAATTAATTAACCACTTTTGAGCTGATTGTTTTTATGCATTCTAATTTTCACCAGTAATTTATTTTCTTGGTTTGGTTTGGAATTTGTTTTAAGCATCAGTTAACGTTCAACTTTTACATCACTAGTTCAACAAACAATATTTACTTCATCTATTTTTGTCTATTTTGGTTTTAACCATCTGGATCGTTTTAGCTTTTGGCTAAAGTTTAGCAACTAGCTCATTAGTTTTGCTTGTTTTAGTTCCTAGCCTTTTTGATTTTGTATTTGTTAATAATTTTTTTTTAGCTATGATTTTACTTATTTTAGCTTGTAGCTTCTGTTTGCAGCACTCAGCATTCACACTGAATTTGGTCAGAAAATGTATCCTGTTCTTTAGTTAAATCCTTCTTCAGCTGAGCAGAAAAATGCATTTTGTTGCAAATGTTTTAATCTAAACAGTTTTGTTTTGTGTTTGGATTATAGTGGAAAAACTGAGATAAAAGCTAAAATGATCAAAACTGTAAAAAGCTAAATAAAACAGAAGTAGACTAAAATAAAGCAAGTGTACGAAAACTGTCTCCAGAGAACAAGTCAATTCAGTTTATTTCTATAGCGCCAATTCACAACAAAGTTGTCTCAGGGCACTTTACAGGAGAATAATAGAAAAGCCAATTAGTAAAGTTCTCTATCTAAGGAATCCAGCAGACTAGTTGAATCTTCACTTCATCACAGTCTCCCATCCTGAGCAAGCACAAAGGAGACAGTGGAAAGAAAAACTCCCTTTTAACAGGAAGAAACCTCCAGCAGAACCAGGCTCAGGACAAGCGGCCATCTGCTTTGACCGGCTGGTTTGAGAGGACAGGAAGGAGAGACAGACGAACACAGAATGGTAGGTCCAGGTATAGGTCCAGGTATAGGTCCAGGTCCAGGTCCAGGTATAGGTCCAGATGTACCTGAAAGACAAAACCACATGTTAAGGATAGAAACAATAATTACAAATACAAAACAAGCTGAGCAGAGTAAGTAAAGACAGTAGCAGAGTGAAAATTGTGGTCAGTTTGTCCTCTAGTAGTCTAAGTCTATAGCAGCAAAACAAGCCAACCCTAACTATAGGATTTATCAAAAAGAAAAGTTTTAAAACTGGACAATGTGTCAGCCTCATGGACAGAAACTGGAAGTTGGTTCCTCAAGAGAGGAGCCTGAGAACTGAAAGATCTTCCTCCCGTTCTGCTTTTGGAAACTCTAGGAACCACAAGTAAACCTGCAGTCTGAGTACGAAGTGCTCTGTTAGGAAAATATGGAACAATAAGATCTGTAATATAAGATGGAGCTAGGTTGTTGAGGGCTTTGTAGGTTAGAAGTAAGATTTTGAATTCAGTTCTGGATTTGACAGGGAGCCAATGGAGAGAAACTAAAACTGGAGAGATATGATTTCTCCCAGTAACTCCAGTTAAGACTCTGGCAGCAGCATTTTGGATCAACTGAAGACGTTTTAAAGAAGTATTTGGACACCCAGATAATAAACCATTGCAATAGTCCAGTCTAGACGTGACAAATGCATGGACCAGTTTTTCTGCATCATCTTTAGATCAGATGTTTCTAATGTTAGTGATATTACGCAGGTGGAAGAAGGAGGTTCTAGTAACGTTTTTAATGTGGGGGATAAAAGACATGTCCTGATCAAAAATAACACCAAGATTTTTAACATTAGAGCAGGAGGACAGATTAATGCATCTAAGGAGGGAGAAAGACTGAAACATTCATTCCTAAGGTGCTCAGGTCCAAAAACTAAAACCTCTTGTCTGAGTTTAAAAGCAGAAAATTAAGGTTCATCCAGGTTTTTATGTCTTTAAGACATGCTTGTAGTCTAAGTAGCTGATTGGATTCATTGGGTTTAATGAACAAATATAACTGTGTGTCATCAGCATAACAATGAAAATGTATCCCATGCTGTTTAATAACTTTACCTGATGGAAGCATGTACAGTACAAGGTAAAGAGTATAATTATGCAAACTGTAATGCTGTTGTTGTTTTATTTTCATTTTTTATTTATTTTATTTTTTCACTAGTCATGTTTTATTATTCCTTACTGAGAAAGTACGTTCCAATAAATAAATAAAAATCCACTGGACAGCAGCCAACATACCCAGGTTCTTTCTTCTTATCAAACTGGTATAAAGTTCCTACAGTGTGGCGTGCCAGACGGGTCAGAAGCCATCAGCTGTGCCTGATAGTAGGTTTCATTCAGCGCCACTTACAGAATCTTTTAATAAAGGGTCGTGTGTGTGTGTGTGTGTGTGTGAATATCTTGCAACAAAAACGTTAAAGGCACCAAAACCAACAGTCAGAAAATAATTTCAGGATGTTTGTTATATTGTCATATACTGGTCGTTTAATAAAATACAACAATACAGATGTTAGAGGATCTCCGTATGTAGTCCCTCGCTACTTCACGCTTCATTTATCGCTGACTCGCTCTATCACAGTTTTTCAAAGTAAGAGTGGACACGACACACAACTGGCTGATTGATGGAGGAGCTGCACGATCGGCATGGAATTTATATTTAAAATAAATTATTTTAATTTTTTTAGCACCTGATGCACCTTTGTGCAGCACACACTGAAGGATAAACTTCCTGCTGCAGCTGATCAGCTGATCTCTGTGCAGAGTGGTGAAGTGGGCGTGGCCAAGAACGCTTGCAGGTGGCAAAGAGCAGATGAGGCAGGGAGCTGAAATCATGACATTATGTGCTCTTTAAGATAATTTAAAGTTTAGAAACATTGTTTGGAATATTGCAAGAGTGTGGGAAGGGTTTAAAACACCATATATATATATATATATATATATGCAGATTTGATGGTATATTTATTTGTATATCATATATTTGATGGTATATTTTGTTTCTATGTTTGTGAAGTCCTACCAAATCTAAACAGCCAGGGGAAATAAAAAATGTTAAAGCAGTTTGACAAAAGTGGGCCAGTGTGGGGACCACCATTTTTTCAGGGGTGACAATCCCCCCCAAGCCCCTCCTTGGTGGTGCCTCTGGTTTCACTGGTTGTTATTGGGTTTTACTTTGAAGTCAACAAAACATTGAACTAAAACTTGTTGGAAACAGTTTTTCCTGATCCTAACCAAGTAACTGATTCATAAAGTAAAACTAAGAGTTAATGTTTTCTTTTTTACACTTTATTTTTCCTATTCATGATCGTTTGTCCCATTTAGGTAAACTCTATAAACATAATAATGTTTGTTTTAACAATAGTTTAATATATTTATCAAATTTAATATATTTATGTTTAGTCTCCCACAAATGTGAGAAAAATGTGCATGAGTTAAAGAGATTGAATCACATAAGATCTGTCATGAATTTACTATTTATAGGTCAACACTGTTTTATGTTACTGTGACAAACGTACAAGCATATACGGGATTAACCTGTCTAAATAAAGGTTGAATGAATAAACGTTTCACAGTTTAGTTGTTATTTGATGACACTATTTTATGTTCTATGTATGATTTATTACATGCACACTTATGATGGAAGGTTTGTATACTCTGTTTCCTTGTAATCAGCATCTGTGAAGGTTTAAACTAGTAATACATACTTTACTGTATCACCAAAATCTGATGTTCTAAAGCATATAAAAACGTGCAGAGCCCTTAGATTTTGCAAAATATGTTTTGTATTTTCCATATTAATTTGTTATATTTAAATATGTAGGGCTGACATGATGTATTTAATCCTGGATTTGCTCTTCAGTCATATTTTCTTATTTTGTGTCAAATACAAAAAACATGATTCCGTTGTTTTTTTTATTAGTTGTCTAAGAAATATGGATCAGTCTTTACGATCTACCTCGGACCCAAAAAGGTGGTGATCCTGACCGGGTACAAGACGGTGAAGGAGGCGCTCGTTCAACACGATGAGGAGTTTGGAGAACGGGAGGTCTTCCCACTTTTGGCAGAATTCAGCCAAGGCCATGGTAGAGAAGAGAAAATGTTTTCAGTTTTTGCTTTCACTTGTCACATTTTAAGTAAAAGGCAACTTCCTGTTTAATTTCAGGGGTTTTATGGTCAAATGGTGAGTCGTGGAAGGAAATGCGGCGCTTTGCTTTGACCAACCTCAGAGACTTTGGGATGGGAAAGAAGGCTTGTGAGGACAAGATCGTTGAGGAATGTCAGCACCTCACTGAAGTTTTTAAGGAGTTCAAAGGTACAAACCATCAGTTTAAGTCCAGTCTAATAATGTCACTTATATATATATATATATATATACTATTTTAACGCTTGCAGCCAGATCGGAAGAGCGTTAAAATA